ATACTCATTTTCGAGTAACTGAATACTCATTTTTCAAAAATTTAGTTATGTTCGAAAATTAATATTTAGTTATTCAAATATGAGTATTCTATCACTCAAAAATGAGTATTTTGTTACTCCCTCCGTCCCTCATAGATCTTCTCAATTGCCCTTTTTCATTGTCCACAATAGATCTTCTCATTTCATTTTTTAACCATTAAAATACCACAACTACCCTCACTTACTTTATTTATTACACCTTACCCACCTCATTTAATACACTCCACCCATTTTTCATTAAGGGTATTATGGTAAACTTTCACCTTTTTTCAACTTTCCTTAAAAACCACCAAAAGTCAAAATGAGAACATCTTAGGGGGATGGAGGGAGTATTAAAAAATCAATAATCAAGTGGATGTACGAAAAACATTATACATTCGGATGTATGATACAGGTACTCCCACCCCACACACACAAGTAATTCATTTATTAGACCTTCAAGTAGCACCTCAAAACACGACAGACAAAGGTGCCATGCTGTGATCCTAGGTTGCATGCCATGTGGCGTGAATGATCACACGCACACCACCCCCCTCTTATCGTGCATGAGAACATTGCGTGAGATTGGAGGTGGACACGACCACCGTAAGTGAGACTCTCCTTTTTATTTATTTTTTTAAGCTTTTGTTTCATTTTACTTAACTATTCTACTGAATCGTCTATTTTGTTCATAACACTTTGTACATAAGTCATTAAAAGAAAACCATTGGAAACCATTTCAGACCCAACAACATTATATTAATATTATAAAAAAAGGTTGGATTGAAAAATAAACCATAATTATACAAATAAAATAGGACAAGCAAATCGAACAAATGTTATTGAAATAAAAATGGTTATGATAAAAAAATTGAAATCAAGATACTGAAAGAACAAAAATAAAATTGGATTTTAGAATAATTTTATTGTTTTATTTTAAAAGATATGATTTAAATTTGATTAAGAATATATAAAATTAAATATAAATAATACCGTGTAATCATTGCACTCGAAGTGGGGTACTACGAGCGTTAAATGAGTGAGATGGTGACTGCATTCATCACTGATGTGGCATTAAATGCCTGCTGATTTGGAGTTAGTGGTGGTGGAGTGCTACAAACAGCCTTATACGGGCTTGTGATGGGTAACTAGTATTACTATTACTATGTACTCCCTTTGTTTCTTAAAACAACTCCGATCCTCTTTAATTTTTTCATTTTTCCTAAAACACTTCCACTTAGTAAAAAATAACTAATATATCTAAATTAAGTCTTTGGAATATACTCCATTCAATTTGCATTGATATAATAAGTCATTTAATTGATTTGTCTCTCTCTTTTCTTGGATGCTAATGATATAATAAATTCAAACTACGAAATAAATCTCTCCCAAGTCAAAAGAGATATGAAATAGAGAGAGTATTATATATTTAATAATATTATATTGATTCGATCACAGTGTACTTCGTAGTGGTACACACACACAGATATATATATATGTGTGTGTGTGTGTGTGTGTGTGTGTGTGTGTGTGTATAAACACATGCATATATACTCACTTTAAATACACAAATATCATCAATTTCGACCTCAATTCAAACTCTACGTGTTTAGAGACATTCCCAGACATCATAGTTCGTGCCTGTAAATTTCTAAAAGAAAAGAGATGTAATGTAAAGTCAAAATAGGCCCCTCCAAAGCACAACTTTTTTTAAAATCTAACACTAGAGGTGTAACTTTTTGTGTTATTATATCTATTCATAGTCTTTTTTTAACCTAGTGAAACACTGAACATACACATGCAAAGAAACTGTTGGTTCCTATGTGGTGTCTGTATTATACCCTTGTGTTGGCATCATTTTTTGAAAAACCATTTTATGTAGCATGGTCTAGTTAGTTAGCCGTTGTTAAGAATAGAGCTGTAGCATCCTGTCAGTCATCACTCACGTATAGCATTTATGCCCAAAGTCTCCCTTCAAGATTAGAAGACTGGATATGCAGGAGTCCTTTTTATTCAAGTAACATGCGCCAGCAGAGAACTATACCTATCCAGTAGCGTGCAACCTTTCTTCAAGCAAAAGGGAATTCTATTCATTACACCACAAGGATTCCTACTCGTTACAAGACTAGGACTCCAATTGAACTCCACTAGGGTTCTGCAGCCTACTCCTATATATTAAAGATGTGAGCTGCGTATGAAAGGGACACACAGCACGAATTTACAATTATTGATAAGTGTGAGACACAGCAGATCAAGGAGCAAATTGCTGAATCAACAACCAGATCGTGAACTTGCTGGCTAGGAGATTATCGAATTATCTTCTCTAAAGTTGTTCAGCTGGTACAAACTGTGAGCTGAGCAAAGGTCAGAATCACATCCTTCGTGCAGAGCAAGGAGACGGTGTAATAGGCCTCGTTGTGACACAAATCGAGTTTGTTGTCTGATCACATAAGTAGACAAGTCAAATTCATTAGAAGGATCTGTTGAAGTTTGATAGTGTAACTCTTACGTTGATCTAGTGGAAAGGCTATTACACGGATGTGGGCCTCGGAGATGTAGGAGATACTACTCCAAACTGCGTAAACAAATTACTGTGTCTTTGTGTGGTTTTTGTTTGTGTGTGTGTGCATGTTGGTAAAGGTGGTGTAGCATCCTGAGTGTTCTAACCTCGAGCTACAACACACTTTCCAACTACGTTTCGTTGTGTTGTTTTTGTGATTTACATTATCGGTATTGCGTTGCTGTGGTTGTGGAAATTTCAGAAACTGTGGTGAATTTCTCATCCATAATCTTTAGTGAGAGTAGGGATGAGCAAAAGGACTAGACTAGTCACACCAGATTGGTCCCTTGAAAATACAAGTACTATTTAGGACATGATAAGTCTGGTATTTTTAAAAGATGATCTAGATTGACTAATCTGGTCTTCATGAAAAAATAGGGACCTTTTGGGACCTTGTATTCCAGTTAGGACCGGTCTAAGTCCGGTCCAGTCTTTAATATGTAAAATTCTTAATATTTTGTTTCTTAAAAAATACTCGTAAACATTAAAAAATCTTATTTTGCATTGTTTAATTTCTTTTTTTCTATACTTTATTGAATTATAATAATTATGAAGCATTAATATTATTTTGTGAAATGGAAGTTGGTCAGAATCAACGAAAAAACAAATTTTAATAGTATACTTTATACATATGAAATATTTTTTATCACTTATTTTTTTATAACTTATTTGTAAATTCTTAAAAGATTATGCAGTATACTATGCTCTATATTGATAGAATAAATATTTTTATATAAAAATTAATTTTTAAAGTATAAATATATCTGTATAAAAATTATATTTCAAATACATTAGATCTCGGGATATTGTCCGGCCTTAGTCTAATCTTTTGGTAAAGACTGCCCGGTTCGAGACTGGTCTGGTCTTTCATAAAAAATTACGGATCAAATGAGACTAACGGTCCAAGACCAGATCGGTCTCAAGGACTACTTTGGTCCCATCTTTTCTAGTCTCATTTCCAAGCTATATATCGATCAATTTTTTCGGTCCAAGTCTTTATGCTCATCACTACGTGAGAGTCTGAGACATAGCTTTTAGAAATCTCCCTAAATAAGACTAAAACATAAAAATGTACCCAAATAGGACTTCCATGTTTTTATTCCCGAAATAGAAGTTTGCACTGTGGTAATGTATAAGTAATGCGGCACTGTACACGTACACATTATTATATTTTTTTGGTAATATGTCTGACCACGTTTGGTGATGTAAATGCATTTTAACTTCTATTTCAGGAGTAAAAATATGAAAGTTATATTTTGATATATTTTCAATATTTTACTCCTACTTTAGTTGTGTTCACCTTTGGTCACATTTTTCCATGAATAACGCCAAAAATCTCTTTCCTCGTTTTCATGCTATATTTTATGTAGAAATCATCCTAAATAGGAGTAAAACATAGAGAAAAGTACCAAAATAGGACTTTCATGTTTTTTTCCCAGAATAGGACTTTGCATTGTAGCAATGTGACTTTGCATTGTGGTAATGTGGCAGTGTACATGTTCAAATTACTATACTTTTTTGGTAATGTATATGACCATGTTTGGTAATGTAAGTCCTATTTCGGGAATAAAAACATGGAAGTCCTATTTTGGTATATTTTCAATGTTTTAGTCCTAGTTTGGTCTTTCTCCCTATTTTATACGAGTATAGTGGGAATAGGAGATTTGGGAGTCCAATTCCCAAAACATTTAGCTAAATACGATTATTGTTGTGTTTGTCATCAACGTTATAGCTAGGTTTTGAAAGGTAAAAGATTAAAATAAGAGTAAAATATTAAAAATATATCAAAATAGGACTTTCGTATTTTTATTCCCAAAATAGGAGTTTAAATGCATTTACATTACCAGACATGGTCATGTACATTACCAAAAAATATAGTAATGTGCACATGTACAGTGCCTTATTACAACCACATTAACACAGTGTGAAGTCCTATTTCAGGAAATAAAAACATGGAACTCCTATTTTGGTACTTTTTTCTATGTTTTAATCCTATTTAGGGTGAGATGAAAAAAATAATAATTTATAAACTATAGTTATGAACATAGCAGTTGCAATAATAATAATAATAATAATAATAATAATAATAATAATAATAATAATAATAATAATAATAATAATAATCACATTAAAAATATACGGAGCATTATTTTTAGAGTAATTGGTTGGAGAGTAGAAAGAGTTGGAAGAAAATGAGAATAATTGGAAGAAACTAAAAGGAACTGGAAGGAACTTGAAGAAACTTGAAGAAACTGGAATGAACTGGAAGAAACTGGAAGAATTTGTAAGGAACTGGAAGTTAAGAGTTCAAACCTTAAAGAATAGGCTCTTACTATACGTCATATTATGACATCCAAACCTAATGTCAAAAGAACCTATGTATTAAATGTATTTTGAAGATAGACACATATCATGATGTGAGTCATATACTCCCTCCGTCCCAAAAAGATCGTTACGTTTCATTTCTTTGCGCATCCCTTAAAATATTTTTATATTGTCTCAAATGCCAAAAAAACTTTCAAAACAATTTCATCTTATAATAAAGAGTAAATATGGTAAATTTTAGAAATTTTAGATGTGAGTAGCATTGCTTTTTGTGATGCGCAAAGAAATGAAACGTAACGATCTTTTTGGGACGGAGGGAGTATTTATTTACTAAAACACAAAATGCAAATGACCTAATTTTTTTGTAAGATGCCAAAAATGAAAACTATAACAGTGTTTGGTTGGATAAAATATTTTCCTGAAAACTTTTAATTCAGTTCTAATTTTTTTACGTGTGCTGAACATAAATGGCAGCAAAACATTTTTTGTGAAACAAGGATAAAATGATTTACATTTACTTTCAAAGGAAATTTCCCTTTCCCTCTTCTCCCCCACCCCATCCCACAAATTTCCTTAGCTTCCTGCTACTCTGTTTTTGAATTGTATCAAAACATTTTTTACAAATATCAATTTTCAAATATTAACAATGGATACATTTTTTTGGGAAAAGAAGTCTTCATATCTTAGGAAAATAGTTCTTTGGGAAAGCAGTCTCCCAAACCAAACGACCCCTAACTTGTTTTAGAGTAAAAAAGTAGAGAAATTTACCTAAATAGGATCATTATTCAAGTAAATGTCCATCATTATTGGAATTGTTTCTCTCACCAGACATTATTAAGTCATATTTAGGAAATAAAAGAGTTTAAACTCCTACATTGAGAAATGACTACTTATGTTTTAATCGTGTAAATTTCACTAAAAAGTAACTCTTGTTTTCTTCATATATATATATATAAAGAAAAAGAATATTATTTGGGAATGTTTCAAAAAACACGGATGAGAATAAATGAGATGGACCACAAGTGCTTACGGTGGAAGATCACAATTGGTGGGCAGCCACTTGTAATTGAGGTACTCCTTATCATGCTTGTTAGAGCACTGGCGATTGGCTGGAACTAAGTCTAGTGGGCAGTCTCCCTGCTGTGTATAATAATCAGATGGTGCACGCACCCAGCTTCCCTCATACAGGTTGCAATAATGATCGCTACCCCCCCAAGACGTCAAACTCTGAGCATGCATCCATGGATGGTTATTACAATATGGTTGAAGTGAGGCAAATAACAACACAAGGACAGCTAGCATGTTGCGGCCGCCGCTAAGGGAAACGAAAAGGAACCCACCCATTCTTAATTTCGGGAAATGATGATATTAAGAATATGATGGAGGAACCTGCTGAATATATATAGAATAATATATATTGTTGGCAGCTGGTGTTGTGTGTGTGTGTGTGTGTGTGTGTGTGTGTGTGTAGCTATAGGCGCATGATATGTTCTACGTTTGATTGAAAAAAATATTAAAAAAGTAAAATTTTGTAGTAAAAATTGGTGGAGAAGGGAGTGAAATTATATGATTCACAAAATCTTTTCCAAAAATCAAAAGTGAAACCTTTTTTTAAGCTAAAGTATAAAAAAGATAATGAGTTTTTCTTAAATGATTGAATACTTGGACATTCCTGTCCCCACGCAGAGACAATAGTATTTTCATTGTTTTATGATACTCCTTTCGTTTTAAAATGATCTTTCCATTTCGGCTTACGAGATTTTTGACTGAAATTAATTTTAACTTAATTTATTTGATTATAGTTGTAAAATTGAAAATTTATAGGTGACATGATTATATTATTTTATCAAATAACTAACGAAAATGAGTAAATAAAGTAATTAAAATTTAACTATGTAAATACTGACTTAGAAGATCAATTTAGAACGGAGAGAATAATAAACATTTTTCAGTTTTTTATTACTCCCTCCGTCCTAAAACTTTCTTCCCGTTGCGTAAAACGAAGAAAAATCCCAAGTTTTTTCAATCTATTTTATTTAAATATTGGTATAGAAATAAAAAATAAAACATACATATTTAAAAACTACATCAAAAGTTTAACAAAACAAGTGGTGACAAGAATATTTTATTTTATCATATAGGCCATGAAAAAACACAAATAAATATAAATTTCCGTGAAGTTGGAATAGTGCTCTGGAAAGAAAGTTTTAGGAGGGAGGGAATAGTATTATTTGCTAATGTAAATGAAACGATCCAATGCATGCTTTTTAGGCTATGCTGCCACATCACAGGTGATGAACGCCACCCCTTCCCTCCCATGAGTATGTGCGTGAGTGGAGATGGAGAAATAGAGTGACGACCACAGTCGCGCACGGAAGAATGGAAGATGCTTCCCTTTCTCTCATTCTTTTCATTTTATTTAATCTTTTATTGTATCATCAAATTTTTTCATAATTTTTTTCTACGCAAGTCATTACTTGAAAAATAATACTTCCTCTGTCCACCATATATCTTCCCATACACTATTTCCAGGATCAAACTTAATTCACTTTGTTTGTTAATTTTTACTATTCATTTCATAAAATAATATAATGTTGTCACCTTTAATTTTGTAAAATTTTTTATGTAGTTTTTTACTACATAACTTTTATATTAAAATTTTATCCCTATATTCAAATAAATTGAATTAAAAATAAAATCGGTCAAGTCTCGTAACACACAATGAGAAGATCTTAGTTGCACGGAGGAAGTATATCATTGGAAATAGTTTTTACAAGATCTACCCAATTAAACACAAGAATATTGCATATGTTATTTTGATATTATATCTCCTTTATATTTTCGCTCAAACATTTCTAAATTTTCTCTTTTTTTTTTGAAATGTGTCATAATATGAAGCAACATTATATTAAAAAAGTAAAGAAAATAAAAAATAATTTTTCTTTTTCTCATAAACATGCCTATGGTGCACGACACAACGATTAAGAGTAATGTTATGGGTACACTATTTTCTACCTCATTTTGCACATCATCCCATCATTCACCGTGCCTAGATTCTTATTTCAGACTTGAAATCTTACGACCAAACCTGAAACTTGTGATCGCTAGGTCAAGAATACTTTACTATCACCTTCAAACCGATCGAGCTAACGCCATCAAAAACTTGACTAATTATGGTCGCGACTTGCCTATGAAACATAAAGTTTACTCCCTCTGTTCTTGAAAACAATTCCAATTTTGACCAAGTATTAAAATAAGGAAGTGTCAAATTATAATTGACTTCTAATTTTACCCTTGATGTAATGGGTAAAAATAAGATGTGATAGATAAATTATTAGAGAAAAATTATGATGTGATAGATAGAGTAAGAAAAAGTAGGGATAAAAATGATTTTTAATAGAAATAAGAAGTGTTTTGGTAAAAGAGAACAAATGGAAGAAGAAGTATTTTCTAGAAGGAGAGTATATTTCAACAATAACATATTCACTTTCTCTATTCGGCCGTGACTAAATTCACACTCTTTTTCATTTTTAAAAAGTTGGACTCTTCAATTCGTTGCATATCATTTTTCGAGTTGGATAAATTTTATTTGGAAAATATCAGTTAAGTAATTAGAAATCACCCTAAATAAGACTAAAACATATAGAAAAGTACCAAAATAGAACTTTCATTTTTTTACGAAATAAGATTTCACACTGTTGTAATGTGACACTGTACATGTGCACATTACTATACTTTTTGGTAATGTACATGACTATGTTTCGTAATGTAAATGCATTTTAAGTCCTATTTCGGGAATAAAAACATGTAAGTCTTATTTTGGTATATTTTCAATGTTTTACTCTTATCTTGGTTTTTCTCCCTAAGTAAATTGCATTGCAAATTAATACCTTGCACTTAGCGTGTTGCTCGTTTATCGATCACTTTTTTTGTAATTGATGTTTTGTTTTGATTAAATTCTTTAAAAGGACCCCAATTATAGTTCATTTTACATATTTAGTCCCTACATATCAAATATTAATAATTTAGTCTCCAATTATTTTATTACTTTCCAAAAATGGTCCTTTGTTAACATTTCTATTAAAAACGTAGATAAAATTGCAAATTCACATAATTCTCTCTCTCTCCTCAATTAAGCTTCCCCCCTCATCTCGCACTTCTTTCAATTCCCAAACTCATTGTTGAGTTTGAAGCTTTGAACCCAAATCAAAATCATTACTTTTCTCTCAATTATTCGTCTTCCTGGTGGAATCCAAAATCAAAACCAGTAACCTTATGAAGGAGTTTAAAGGTATGTTTTTCTTTGCAATTTCTTGAGACTAACTCATTAAAGTCATCCATGAAGATTATTGGTTTCAATTTTGGGTTCCACTCGGGAATATGAACAATTGAGAGAAGAATGATCCTTTCAGTTTTGGATTTAGAGCTTCAAACTCAATGACGAGTTTGGGAATGAGTACAAGAAGAGGGAGAAAGCTTAATTGATGAAAGAGAAGAATGGGAATATACAATTTTATCCATGTTCTTAACGGAAATGTTAACAAAGAATTATTTATGGGAAAAAAATATAATATTTGGAGACTAAATTATTAATATTTAATATGTAGGGACTAAATACGTAAAATGAACTATAATATTTGGGGACCTTTTTTGGAATTTATTCTTTTGTTTTGTATAAATCAAATTCATTGTCAAAAAAATATTTAAGCTTAAATTAATACAATGAAACAATTTTTAAAAGTTTTATAAAAGATAAATCCAAATGCATTTTTTGAACTAATTTCTTGTAGGTAGACTTGAAAAATCAATCATGATAAATATTTTGAGATAAAGTATATTATTAATACTTCTAAATATTTTCTAAATAAATTTCAATGAGGCAATTAAGTTTTTCAACTCTCCTTTTGTAACAAAGTCAACAATAATTGGGGAATATTGTAGTGTCGCTGTTTCAAAATAAACTTTTGAAAAAATCAAAGAATGTTTCCACAGGTCAATAGAGAAAAGCATTTTAATGATCAATCAATGGCTGAACCATTTCGGCGTCTTGGGCTTTTAAATTTTTTATTTCCAATTTGCATTTTGATAAAAGTATTTTAGCCTCTGATTGATGACGGAGACTTAGAGATGAGCAAAAGAACTGACGCGGTCAGACTACACTACAAAAAACTCCCGGAATTGGCACGGAATATTAGGCACGGACATTCCGTGTCTATGCCGAAAAAAAGAAAGATGACACATGGCGTGTTTCTATTTGCGTTTTACTTTGGCTCTGCATTTGTCCGTGCCTAATTCCGTGCCAATAGCGTAAACGTTAAGACGTTAATGGTGTTGTCGGACGGTGATTATTCTAACTAATATGCACGGATTTAGCCGTTCTAATCCCTTACCTTTCTCTTAAAAGTCAAAATCGAAAAGGACAAGACTATTTTGTCATGGAAATAGTCGTGCCTAAATCCGTGCCTCTACCCGTAGTACATAATTTTATTTATTTAAACATTTAAATCATACTCATAACAAAAAACTTTTATCTTTTAAATATATTAAAATCGGAAGATAACAAGACTACAATTAGAGAAGAGTACATGATACAACTTTTTTTAGATGAAATAAAGAAAGAACTACAAAAATAAAAAATTATAAAAACTTATCCAAATAAAATATCTACATCTATCGTCTTTATCCAAATAAAACAACTACATCCTAAAGTTTTTGTACTAAAGTTTTCTACTCCCTCCGTCCTAAAATATAAGCAACACTCCATTATTTAAAAATCACAAGAACTTTTATTTATTTTTGCATTTTCATTAATTATTTGATAGAATAAAATATTCTTGTCACCACTTGTTTTGTAGAACTTTTGACGTAGTTTTTAAATATGTAATTTTTTT